CCTGGAGTCCCTGGTGGAGAGACCCTCAAACCAAAGTCTCCCCCAAGGACAGGAGCCACTCTTACTCTTTGCCTGATGTCTTGGTTCTTAAAGGGGCGCATCTTGGGGTGCCCTTCTTTGAGGCTCCCAGGCTCCACCCAACAATGGCTGGCCCTCCCACCACAGTGCCTACAATCTGAGCCATTGCCTGGAATAGTTCCCCAGAAATGAGTGACAGCTGTCGCCATTCAACTCTCCCCATGGACTGGTTCTCTGCACAAAGTGGCCCTCGGTTCTTACTGTATGCTCCAGGAAGAGCTGTAGTGATGTGACTCCTTTAGTGACAGGCTTCTGTCTCGACAACAGATATTACATCTCAGGTTCAATGCAGTTTCCACTGTATAGAAAAAGGAAAGACCTCTTCAAATAGGTCAACTCATCTTCACTCTGAAGTCTTGAATCCTGAGGAACTTTGGAGCTTATTTCTTGCTCTACCTGGCTAACAAAGGACATCTTTCGGTGGCAGTAGCTGTCATTTTCCAAGAAAGACACTTGACTCAGACATCTTTTCTATTTATTTCTAACGACTCCCTAGGATGGGATATAGTTCTCATTTTCCCCTTACACTCTTATCATCATATATCATATGGAAACAAAAGTTTATTAAGTGGCATTGTGGAAACTGGGAAGTTGTTTGAAGGAAAAAATAGGTCTTCTTCTCACAGCCGAAATTCTAACACTAAAATCAATTCCAAATGTATTATAGAACAGAATGTTTTAAAAAAACAGCATCAGCAGTATGTAACTACCCATCTGTCACTGAGATAGCCACAAAGACGCGCACACCAAAACAGACAAACACTGTCAATACCAGAGAGTAAGGTAGAAACTGAGCCAAATGTTAGGGCAAGGGGAGCTGCACCAGCATGGAGGAGGCCCTCTTGTCTTTAGCTCATGATACAGACCTGATAAAATACTACAAATCAGATCTGACAACCTCCTACCACCCACTTCTTAACCAGAGCCCTGGTGACCCAGGGACCCAGGTACTTGGGCAGATGGCTCACGGCAGCAGTGAAGAGCTTTAGAAGCGCACCAGTCTCCAAATGCCCAGGCTCATGAACTTGGAGCAATTAAGAGAAGCATTGGAGCAGTGATGCTCTGAGTGTTTAAGAAGATCAAGAGCAATTCTTCTGTATGCCACACATCACTCAGGTGATAGTTAGGGACATGACATCTGAGATGTCCCACTGGGCTTTCTTTTCCTGTTGTGACCATGATTTTCCAAGTTTCATTACCGCCTCCTACTTCTGTATGCCCCTGAAATGCTAATATTCTACTTAACTGAATCTATCACACAATTATTCCAAGTCTTCCTCTGACACCTTGGAGCCGAGGCCTTCCATTCCCATGAGGTATGGTAGGCATTCTCTTCCCCATCATCCCTAGTGGGAGCCCTATACAACATGAGCCAGGCTACAGGGAGAGGCCTAGATGAGGTAGGGAAGACAGTGTGAATGTTTTCTTGAATGTTAAGTCATTTCATAGCTCTACCCAGGCAGGGCCATTCATTCCCTACTCCAATAGTTAAGAGATAGTGACAGTCCAGGAGCCAATGGGAAGAAGGTAGATCCAGAACACAGGAGTGAAGAATGAGAACACAGAGGAGATCCCTCCACTGCCCGCTCAACACAGATGGGGAGCAGCAGAGGCGCTGCGCAGCAGTGGGTCAACTTGCCACTTGGAATTCCTGCATCCTATCAGCTCCCTAAGAATGATGGCCCAAATGCGTGAGTCTCTGCCACCCATATGGGAGATCCACAGTGAGTTTTAGCTCTTGGCCCAGCTGTCGGGGAGTGCACCAGAGGATGGAAGAATGAAAGATTTTTCCCCCTCTTACTGTTGCTCTGACCTTCAAGTAGCTGGAAATAAATAAAGACACATGGCTTAAAAGGGCTATCATGGCGTATTGCCTATTTTTTAAAAGTCTGCCCTGTGGTGTTTTGAAAACATGTATTTTGGGGGCCCAGCGTGGCAGCCTAGTGGCTGAATTCCTCACCTTGCATGCACCAGGTTTCCATATGAGCACCAGTTCTAATCCTGACGACCCTACTTCCAATCCAGCTCCCTGTTTGTGGCCTGGGAAAGCAGTCAAGAATGTCCCAAAGCCTTGGGACCCTGCACCCATGTGGGAGACCTGGAAGAGGCTCCTGATTCCTAGTTTTGGATTGATTCAACTCCAGCTATTCTAGTTACTTGGTGAGTGAATTAGCGGATGGAAGATCTGTAAGGACTTATTCCAATATCTCACCCTGGACCCTGCGCCATTCCTTCTTCCTCACAGCTCACGAAATTCGCGCCAGTCCAGCCATCCACCAATCAGATGTAACCTGGCATTCCACCTGAGAATCCCACCCCCAATCTCCCAGCCCCTTCCCCAACCCCGCCCACTCACCAATCATCCCCAGGCATTCACCTGCAGGCACCAATCCCCTGGGGCCTTGACCTCAATCCCTCCGAATCCCCGCCCCCCACACCTGGCAGACAAAAAAGGCCCCCAGGTGCGGCTTGCTCTCTCTTGCTCTCTCTTGCTCTCTTGTTCTTTCTTGCTCTCTTGCTCTCTCTTGCTCTCTCTCTTGCTCTTGCTCTCTCTTCTCGGTTCCTCTCCCCTGCTCTTCCTCTCTCCTCCTTCTTACCTCCCTTCCCTCCCCTTCCCTGTTCCTGCCTCACTCGGTTCTCTCTCTCTCTCTCTCTCTCTCTCTCTCCCTCCCCCTCTCCCTCTCTCCCTCTCTCTCTCTCTCTCTTCTTCCTTGCTCCCCCCCTCCCCCTTTCCCGTTCCCCTTCCCCTTTTCCTGCCCCGCTGGAATAAACTTCCTAAGATATGTCGTTGCGTCTGGTGTTTTCAGCTCACGGTAAAGAACCAGGTTGCGAGAATTAGCTGCGCGTAAAGTATCTTAATATCGTGTGACCTAAAACCAGAACTCTTACATTCTTTTAAATAACTAACAAGACCTTTCTCTCTGCCTCTCCTCTCTCTGTATATGTGCCTTTAAAAAAATTTAATGTATTTTTAAAATTCATTTTTATTCTTATTTGAAATGCAGAGTTACAGAGAGAGGGAGACAGAGAGAGAGAGAGAGAGAGAGAGAGAGAGAGAAAGAGAAATATCTTCCATTCACTGGTTCACTCCCCGCAAGGGCCACAATGGCCAGAGCTGAGCTGATGCAAAGCCAGAAACCAGGGGCCTCTCTCAGGTCTCCCACTCGGGTGCAAAGGCCCAAGGACTTGAGTCACCCTCTGCTGCTTTCTGAGGCCATAAGCAGCGAGCTGGATTGGAAATGGAGCAGCTGGGACTTGAGTTGGTGCCCTCACAGGATGCCAGTGCCTCAAGCTTTAACCTGCTACACCACAGTGTTGGCACCCATCTCATAATTCTATATATCCCTGACTGTCTAATGATAAAATTTTTCCAGTAAACTGTATCATATTCAAAATAATGACACCTGCACTTCCAGCTTAAATCGCTCTCTGCAGCTTCTGCCACGCAGATGTACTTAGAGTATGATGAGCTCATTCAGTTGGGCCCTGATCCAAAGTCACTGGTGTCCTAATAAAAAGCAAAGCAGAAAAGCACACAGACAAAGGAGAATATCATGTGAAGATGAAGGAGATCAGGTGATTGTTTTACAAGCGGGGACCAAGCATGCCAACAGACTCCCAGAAGGGAGGGGAGAGCCGTGAGGCAGATTCTCTCTCGGCACTCTCAAAAAGAGCCAACCCTACAGACGCCTTGATGGTGGACCACCGTAGCTTCCAGAACAGAGACAATAGCTCTTGTGGTTTATGCCTGTGGTTGTGGGGCTTGCTTGTGACAGCCCAGCAAACCGACATGCTGCACACCGAAGGTCTACTCTGTCTCTAGTGCCCACAGCCTATGACTAGATCCTGTCTGCATTGCCTCTTATACATCTATGTTCAGCAACTGCTGCTTCTATTGGCTTTGTAAGTTCATTGGGTAATTGGTGAACACTGCATTAGGAGGAAACAGGGATTTAGCTGACCAAATGAAGAGAGGTTGGATCAAAGCCAGCACAGCAGAGGGTCTGGGATCTGAGAGTGTGCAGGCATGGTGGAGTGGTGGGCAGAAGGTGAGGGTGTGCCTGGCTGTGGGTGAGACTAACACCAACTTGGAGCTTGTCGGAAAACTCTGAGACCACAGAGGCTGCCTCAAATGCCAAGGGGGCGGGGCTGGCTGGAGACCAGGACGCCTCTGGCCTCCTTCACCAGGGCAGACTCTCCACCTGGGCTTTTGCTCGGGCTGTGCGTTGGGGGCACTTGCTGTGTGCGGGCTCCAGGACAGCTGCTTTGGACAATTGCAAGCCTACCCAGCAGGTTGACGGGTGAGCAGCCCCATTGTAGTCCAGGAGGTGTGAGCTGAGTATAGGCTTGCGTTGCTTAGCCCCAGCTTCAGCTCTTCCAGCAAACAGGGGACTCCGCCAAAGCTCTTAGAAATTGGAGTCTAAACTTTAAGATCAAGCAATGAAGGATTTGGAATAAGACTCATCCCTGGGCTCCCAGGACCCTGAACAGTTGTGCGTGCCTTCTCTTTATCTCCCTTCACGCCTTAACATCCTGCTCCCCAGCTCTTCTCCCACCTCCTCTTAAGCCTCATCTCCCTCACTCGCTCTTCTCTCACCCCGCGAATCCCCCTCATTGCTCTTGCTGTTCTCCTTGCTCTGCTCTTCCCTTCCCCCTCTCCCACCCTGACTTCCCTCCTCCCAGTCTTCCTTTTACCCCCTACCACACTCACCTTTCTCCTCCCCCTAATTTCTCTCTCTTCCTGGTCCTCCCTTTCGCTTTCTCCCACCCCTCTCCTTGACACCTCCTTTCTCACTTTCCACTTCCCTTCACACCCTCCCTTTGCCCCACACCTCCTCTCCCTCCTTACTCCTCCCATTCTGGCCCCCTCTCTCCCCACTCCCATCTCACACCACCAGTGTTTGCTTTTCTCCCGGATCCGGATGAAGGGGCTGGCCTGCCCATGCCCTGCCCTGCCCCAGTTCTGGCAGCTAGGGCCTGGCTTCATGGCTGAAGGCTCCCGGACTCAGGCCCATGGGCAAGCAGCCCCTCTCAATATTCAGGTGCTGCGAGCCCAGTATGAAGGCTTGAGGAGGCTACAGAGGACCCAGACCCACCTCATGGTGCTCCCAAGAGGTAGGACTGCACAGGTGCAGAGGGTGGAGGGCCTGGCAGAGCTGCAAGGAAGGCAAGGCCAGGGTTCTTGCCAGCCCTCGTGGTGTGGGAAGGGAGGGAGGGAAGAAGCAAGGGAAGAGTAAGGTTGCCACAGCAGGGTCAGAGTCACAACTAGAGGCAGAGTAGGCTTGCAGGGGGCACTGAATCAAAATAATGCAAACCAGTCTGTCCCAAGGTCAAGTGAGCCAGGGGCCCAAGCAGGCATCTGGCCAGCAACATTGTTCCTGGCCTCTGCTCCTGTCTTCTGATCTTGCTAGACTGGTCAGCTTGGTAAGCCAAGCTTGGCCTCCCTGCTTAGCTAATGGGGGCGGGGAGCTCTGCCTCCTGCCTCTGGGGACTGAAGACAAGCAGTATTCCTAATATCCAGGAGCCCGCAGCAGGGCTCATGGAGCCATGATGCACCCCAGGCTCATCTGGCCTCAGGCAGCAGACAAGGAAATCCCCTCTCCAGGAAGATGAGGCAAGGAAGACTTCATTCCAGGAGGAGGTAAGGAGAAGGGCTCAGAAAGTAAGTGGTTGTAAATTCCAGCCCTTCATCCTCCAGCAGAAAGCCAGCTAAAGGAGAGACGGTCCCCAGTAAGGTCCAAACTGTGGTTAACTGTACAGTTCCATGGACTCTTGATGGTCTTCCCTTTGCAGGCCAGAGTGGAAAGGCTTTGAGAGCTAGAGGGACCTGGCTGTTTAGCGCAGCAATTGTGTTGCCTCCTTGAGAAAAATAGCCTCTCTGAGCTGTGCATTGCTTCAAAGTTGTTACCAGCTGCTGGGATGCTTGTGACCTGAATTGGTCTCCAGGGCATAAGCTGAAAGGTCCCTAAAGCCCTATCCTACCATCAAGGGTCTTTACTCACTTAGTCACTCAGCAGATGGAAGCATTATGCTTAACATATCAAAGGCTTTTTGACACTCAACCTTGTCCCAAGGAACTCTGCCCCCAGGCCTCTGTGCTGGTCCTTCCTCCTGCGCTTGGAAACTTAGTGCTTCTGAGAAATGGCAATGGGAAGCAGAACAGTGATTGCTGGGAGCATGGGAAGATGGGGAGTTCAAGAGGCACAACATTCGTGTTTGGGAAGGAGGAAAGCATCCAGGAGCTCCTCTTGCCTGTCCTCTGGGTACCACAAGCTGGCACTTCATCTGTTCACCAAGAGTCTTTCCGCCCAGATTCCTGATGGGAGGGGACATCATGCCTATGTTCTCCCCGAGCACCCCTCTCCTTCCTCATTCTTGCACAAGCGCATGGCATTTTGGGTATCTGCAAAGGTTTACATACTTGTCAGGCTAAGACAATAGTGTGCTTGCAACACCAGAGCACAGCTTCTGAGACTCAGCACTGGACTGGTGTTTCCGGGATCGCACTGTTTGCAGAGATGGTGGCTGCCCCTGCTCTTCCATTTCCTTTTGGGTGTCTGCCTCGGAGCTCAGTCCTCCCTTTTGACCTTATTTCTCCTGTATTATTTCCCTACTCTTACTCTGCTTGACCACCTTCTGGGCCTCTCATGGCAACAGATGCCAGAACACTCAAGTGCACTTTATCTGACATCTCAGACGGACTCTGTGCTGGTCACAGTCCTGCCTTCTACAGGAAAGCACTTTCCAGCCACTGCCACAACTCCTAATGCCACTCAGAGTTGCCAGCGAAGTATCATATTTCATAAAGTGTTTTAAATATGGTGTCCTAGAAAAAGAGCAGAGCTGTCAGTCTATAGCCCTGTTTCTATAGTCAGTTAAGATGCTGCAAATGTCTTCCCAGAACAGCATCTCTGGCATAGAAAGTTAATGGCCAATTCTCTAAAACATAGTCATGGGGCAGGCATTTAGGCTAAGCATCAGGACCCATGCCCCGCCATGTCCAGTCACCGCCTCCCTCTTCCTGCTGTTTCAGATCCTGGAGCAGTGGTGATGGTTCAAGTGATTAGGTTTTTGTCACCTTTGTGGGAGACTCTGAGTTCCTGATTTCTGGCCTCAGCCTGGGAGCATTTCTGTGTGTGTGTGTGTGTGTGTGTGTGTGTGTGTGTGTGTGTGTCTGTGTACCTATCTGACTGAATGTCCATGTTGTCTTTGTTTCTGGAAAAGAGGAAAGGAAGAGAGAAGAAGGGAGAGGGAGAGGAAGGGGATAGGAAGGAAGGAAGGAAGGAAGGAAGGAAGGAAGGAAGGAAGGAAGGAAGGAAGGGAGTGGTGCAATGGCTTAACTGGGTAATTCTCCACTTCCAACTGCCACATCCCATATGGGTGCTGGTTTGTGTCCCAGCTGCTCCACTTCCCAGTCAGCTCACTGCTTATCACCTGGGAAAGCAACAGAGGATAGTCCACATGGGGGACCCGGAAGAAGTTCCTGGCTCCTGACTTTGAATCAGCTCAGCTCTATCCACTTCATACATTTGGAGAGTAAATGAGCATGAAGATCGATCTCTCTCTCTCTCTCCTTTTCCCTATAAATCTGCCTTTCTAATGAAAATAAATAAATCTTTAAAAAAGAAGGGAAGGAGGGAGGGAAGAAGGAACATAGATCCTCACTCCTCTGCTTTGGTTGTAAACTCATTATCAGACTCCAGGACACAAAACCCTACATGTGAAAAGCAATCTTTTCTGATGCTTATGTTATCCCTACCCTACTTGAATACCTCCTTGACAATGTGGGTTTTGACTCCGTCCTCACTGCTGAATTCTTGATGCCTAAGTAAATCAGTCCTGGCATATGTTAACTATTCAATAAATAATCATCCAATGAATGAACAATCGTGTGTGAACACATGCCGATGAGATCATGCACGCTCTCATGTGTGTATACGCACATGCAGTAACACACTGAGTATTCCTCCTGGAGTATTTGGAGCATTACCTCCCTCCAGCTTGCAAATTTAGACCCCCCTTCCAATCAAGAGCTGCGCATGTCCATGGTGACAGCCCTGCCTGTGCCCTCTCTTCTCTTTAGGAGGGAACACGCCTACTCCTGCCGAATCCATGACCAGTGCCGTCTGGATCAACAAGGAGAGAAGGAACTCGGTGTTGCTGGAAGAGGGAGATCCTGAGGTGGAGAGGATGCTGGAGGAGGCAGCCCAAGGCCATCACCAGGCCTCTGAGTCTGCATGGCACACACACCTAGAGATATATCGTTTGGCCCAAACTTCCTACCAGGAATGCGATCCTGAAATGAAGACCAAGGGCCACTTCCTAGGGTCTCAGCATAGGCTCCCTCCAGAAGGAGACCTGTGCTTGCTGGAAAACAACCAGCAAAGAACCAAAGCTCCAGAGGAAGCCCCATGTCAATGTCAGCTGGGCGGTACCCAAACAAAGGCAGCAGGATGCAACTTAAAAACCAGCATCCAAGGTCTTCCTTCTATAAAGAACTCACAGCGGCCTGGCAAACCAGCTCACTACCCATTTCCCCAGAGGAAAACTCCCAGGATCTCCCAAGCAGCTCGGAACCTGGGCTTGTATGGCCCTGCCTGATGCTTCCTACCTACCCAGATGTTCTACGTGGGGGTTCATCACAGAACCAAGTGGGTTCTAGCTCTAAGCAAGAACTAATCTACTTCAATGATAGCAATTCTGAGAAATTAACTAAATTGACAACAAGGTCTCGTCTTAAAAAGAGAGACAGATTGCGGAAGTCAGACTGCTCACCATTTATGGTGAAATGGTATTGGCTGCTCAACTCAGCCCTTTCTGCTTAAAATGAAGCCTTTGTTAAAGAACCCTGGATGTCCACTCCAAGAGGAAGCTAGTAGAATACCTGCTTGCCCCTTGACCTGGAGAATTCCAATCGCCAAGAGGACATCCAACTAATGCACTGCCTTAGTGATCCCCAGGTACCGATGGGCATGGACAATCTTGTTTCCAGTATCATCTGATTTCTCACACATTCGAGAGAAAATGAACTCTGAGAATTCACAACCTTTTTGTGGTCACCATTTGCTGGGGGGGGTCTTTTGCCCAAAAGTCTCTACATTGTCAGTGATCACATCATTTCGTCTAGAGCTTCCTAAAACACGGTCACCCTGGAGAAAGAGGATCAGATTCATGCCACCTACCACTATTTACATGTTTAATAAATCTTTGTGTTTGACGCTTCTTCCTGAGGCTGATTATTCCATTCTCATCACAGATATCTTTTCCCTTCCTTCATCCCTCTTTCCCTCTCTGCAAATTAGCATCTTGTTATAAATTGCCAATCATTGAGGCTATGACAGGAGCAAAAAGTACAAGGAAATGCATCTGTTTGTTTCCCACAAGCTTGCCCATTTTCAGCTTCACTTGTATCACTCAGAAGCGTCTTAGAATCAAAGACATTTTTTTTTTCAACCAAGGACAAAGTGAAGCATGTGTTACTTGGGGGATAAGAAAGAAAAGCATCTTTCCTGGCTAACATTGCATTTCAGCAGTGATACTAAAACACACCTAAGCCTTTGGGTCCTTGTCAGTTTTCACCCTCTGTGAAGTTGCACCCACATCTTCCCTTTTGTCCCATAGTGACCCAGTCTTAACCCATTCATATCCAGAGTCGTCAACCAGGAGTGCTCAAAATATGTGTATGGCTGCACAGAACCACCCAGTACACTCCAACCTGCAGGTTGATCTAGCATCATTCCTCCAGGAGTAACTAATATCTTCACTATTTGTTTCTATATTGAAAATCAAGGACATTTTCCGAAAAGACATTGCCCTTTGCTCTTGCTTTGGAGAGACCTGCCACCAGTGAGCCCGCTTTGAACAGTCTTTTGAATCGTTCTGTCTTCACTGTTCCCAGGGATCCTGTATGTCAGCGGCACTTGCGGAATGCCTAGATCCTCCATACAAAGTGATGGAGACTGCCCATAATCCAGATTTTAAATATTTGTTTCTATTAGTTTAAAACATTAGTTTATAGAGTATTACTTTTGCATATTACATTATTATTTTATATTATATTAGTTTATGTATTTACTTTCATTTTATTTGAAAAACAGAGACAGACACAAATCTTCTATCCGTTGGGTCATTCCCCAAAAGCTGCAGCAGTTGAGGTTGGGCTAGGAGCCTCAAACTCATCAGTTTGGATCTCTCGTTTGAGTGGCAGCAACACAAGTACCTGACCCTTCATTTGCTATTGCTGAGGCTGCAAATTTGCAGGAAGCTACATCAGAAGCAGAACCACAATTCAAACCAGATTCTTTCATATGTGATCTCAAGCAGTATCTTAACTGTTATGCCAAACCTGCACATATCTAGGTTTTAATCTAGCCATTCTTGGCATGTAATGCAGGCCAAGTCACTGAGCATCTCAGTTTGGGTTTCAAAGTCAATTATTTCTAGTATTGCTTTCAGATCCAAAGAGTCAAACAATTGCAGATTGAAACTATCAGAAAGAAAAAACAGAAAGTTGCATCTGTACTAAACAGATAATTTTTTTTTCTTGTCGGTATTCCTCAAACAATAGAGCATAACAAATATATATGGTATTGCCATTGTATTAGGTTTTATAAGTCATTTAGAGAGTTTTTAAGGTACATGGAAGGAGTGGTTTACTGCTTCCACCAGTAGCTGGTGGGCTCTGGGGCCTGGGAACTCACTCAGGGGGGCCAGTAAAGTGCACATCCTTGAGTCCCAGGTGGGTGGGGAAAGAGGAGTAAGACCCCAGGTTGCCAGGTTAGGATGATGTGCTGGTGGGTCAGGCCTAGGGATTTGCACACATACTTCGGCCCTAAGCAGGTGGAGGGGGAGGGTTCCAGGCTGGCACGCCTGCCAGAAGATTGAGTCTGAGGACCTATACATGAACTTGAGTCCCAGTGGATGCGCAGGGCTCTGGGCCAGCATGCCACCCTAACTGGGAGACCAGGCTGGGGAACCCATGAGCTTGGGGACACTAGGGCTGTGGATCAGCCACCACTTGTCTCCAGAGTCAGTGGATTCACCTTTGCCTAAGTTGGTTATCACCAACTTCCTGGCTTTCCTTTCCCTTTCCTCCTTAAGCACTGGGTTCCTCACTGCCAGTCTATGAGCTCCTTTGCGTCAGGACAATGTCTAATTACTGCTCAGTAAGCGGTGGTCAAATGGTTGACTTAGAAAAAAAAATGAACATGTAGCAACTCAACTTTGCCCCTGAGCTTCTGAATGTATGAACCTTCCAGGTTCAGACATGGAAATTTAGTTTTCCTTTAAGATGTTCCCTATGAGAGGTGGAATCAGAATGGCAAGTGGACGTAAGAGCGCTGCAAGCACAGACGACAGGGTGCACAACTCGAAGGGAAGCATCCCTGATGTGCTGAAGCTTGTCAGAATGCATGACAGAATGCCTGTGAGATGCAGCCCAGTGACCAAACGGAGAACACCTGCAAAGGCACTGTATCAATCAGGATACACCGTGTTCTGAGACAGTAACAAACAAGCTCCACATTTCACACCAGAAGCCCAATTTATTTTTTTTTTTAATAAAATTCACTCATTTATTTGAAAGGTAGAGTTGGACAGAGAAGAAGAGAGAGATCACAGAGAGAAAGATCTTCCACCTTCTTGTTCCCCTTCCCCTAAATGCCACAGTAACAGGGGCTAGGCCTGGCCGAAGCTAAGAGCTGGAACTCCACCTGGTCCTCCAACACAGCTGGCAAGGGCTCAAGTACTAAGTCCTCTTCCACTGTCTTCACGGCTGCATTCGTAGGTAGCTGGATGGGAAGCAAAGCAGCTGAAAACCAAACAGGTGCTTGGCTAAGGGATGCTGCCATGGCACAGGGCAGCTTCACCTGCCATGCCATAACATTGGCCCACGAAAGTATATTTTTTCTGTCATGAAAGTCCACTAGCCCACTTGAGTTTAGGATGTACTTCCAGGGCATCTGTCTGTCATGTGAAGTATTATCACCAATTCAAGATTCCCAGCTTTATCATATCAATACTGGTTTCCCCAATATGTGTCACAGGAGAATATGCATTATCATCATGAGCTGGTTCTTATACCACCTTTGCTCATAAGTCATCATCTAAAACAAGTCACATTATCAAGACATAAGAAAGTGCAATCATCCCATGTGCCTGGAAGAAGGAATGAAAATACACCTTAGCAGCATTTCCAACCAGCACATGAGGGCCAGCTCACAGAGAACTGAGCAGGTGCAGGACTATATTAGATTTCATTCTGAATACATCACCTAGCCAGAAAGGGACCTCTGAAGGGGACCCAAATGGTTTGACTTGCTGTTTATACAGTTTATTGTGGTTGTTCAAAATCGAGTGAGTTAAGAGTCTGGTTAAGAGGCAACATTGGGAAAGAAATGGCCAGGTAAGCTCAGTAGAAAAGAAGCTGTTAGCTCAAACAAGAACAGGAGCAGGAGTTATTGTGAACAAATAGATAATAGTTGATATGTGTTTTGGAAATAGCATCAGTATGACTTATTGACATAAGAATTACACATTAGGTTTGAAGGATTTGATGTTTGAGATGCTGGTGAGATGCAAATGAAGGTTAGGATCAGCAGGCTGTAGAGGTGCTTAAAAGAATGCAAAAGTTTGAACTTGAGTATGCAGCATGTAGGAAGAAGACAAGTCTAGAATTCATTTCCAAATTCCAAACTTTGCTTAGGACAATCCTTACTTGGGAGAAATGGGGTTGAGGGAGGAGCAGGCACAACGAGAAGGGTAACGAGGTAGAAAGGAGGACAGCCAGAATAACGTGAAGGCACAGCATTGAAATGACGACAGCTAGGGCTGGTCTTGTGATCCGTGGGGGACGCCTACATCCCACGGGGAAGTGCTGGGTCAAGTCCCAACTACTCTGCTTCCAATCAAACTTCCTGCTATTGTGCCTGGGTGGCAGTAAACCAAGGTCTTTTCTGCCATCCATGTGGAAGATCTGGATGAGTTCCTGCCCCTGACTTCAGCCTGGACCAGCCCTGGCGCTTGTGGGCATTGCAAATGAACAGATGGAACATTTCTCTGTGTCTCTTATTTTCATTTTCCTTCTCCCTTTCAAAGTAATTGCTTAATTGATTTTATGTGTGTATTTATTTAAAGATGAAACAAGCGCGCGCGAGAGAGATTGAAACCGGGAGTCAGGAACTCCATGCGTGTCTGCCACGTGGGCAGCAGGAATCCATAGTTTTGGGTTAGCATCCATCAGCTTCCCAGAAGCATTCACAGGAAATTGGATGGGAAGCGGTTTAGCCAAGATTCCACCTGAAACTCTGATATGGGATTCTGGAGTTGCAAGAAGTGGCTTAATCCACTGCACCACAATGTTTGCCCCAAATATATGTTCCCCCCAACTCCTGAAAAACTGTCATCATAATATCAGGAAGTGAAAATCCACTGCAGTAGCCATTTCTACTCCAGAATAAAAGGAAGACTCTCAGTGAAACCGTCTGATACTAGGTTTTCTACCTTTGCCTATACCTACAATGTCATGATTCGCTTAAACAGCAGAATGTTAAATGTGTAACTATTACTAAAGGACTATAATACTCTAATAATATGGGGGGAATGGTGGAGAGAAAAGGGATGAGGAGGGAAAGGAGAAATCCCTATACTTATAAGACTGGTATCATGGAACACAATAACAATGACTTTTTTAAAGAAAGAGTCAGCGCAAGACATTGTGCAGGTCACTCCCCTCCTCGGAAAGCTCCTGTAAGTCCCCAGGAGTCCAGCTTCTTCCACCCGGGATTGCTGTGCTCTGAGCATGAGAGCTGAACAGGCCCAAGTCCAAGAGGCAGGTCTGATTGTGTTACAACTCTTCATCCCAGGGTAGGTAAACACAGCAACAGCCAGTCCAGGCTAGCACTGCCTGAGGGCCACCGGAGTGAGCTTAAGGGTGTCTTTGGCTCAGAGCTCAGTCTTCTGCCAGGGGCAGTTGGGTCACCCCGAGTGTTCCTTCAGCAGAGCTTGAAAGAGGGGGGTGTGGGGCAAGGGCTGAGCTTGGCGTCCTTCCGAGGGTGAAGAATGGCCACTGCTGCCTCGGCAGGTGACCTTCACTGAAGTACCCTCAGCCTCTCGGCCCCTAGGGGCTGCC